AAGAGAACTGTTTGGAGATGTAAATAGGAGACCTACACTGCTTTTTCTGAGCCAAACTAAAGGGAAAAATAAATACATAGTAAATGGCTAAAGAACCATGAAAGTGAAATGAATTGATATTGAGTTATATAACACCAGTATGAGGTTAATTCAATACCTTCAATACAAAATAGTGTGTCTGGATTTACCCAGAGTTGGTCAGAGTTCCTCCAGGAAATCAAATTGAACAGCGAGCAAGTGAACAAAACACACAAACAGAAGTTTCTTGAGCAAATATATATATATAAATTACTATTATTGCCTCCGTGATATATAGGTACAGGTTAATAGGAATTACATTTTTTATAAGGTATGATTTCTAGACTGGTTCTTATTTGTCCAGATATTAAAGGCAATTTGCATTTTAATTTGAAGAATGGTTGGTTTTAACTATTGATTATGTTAAACTAAATAACTTAATAGTGTAATATAAGACTCAATATAACAAGTAGTATGGGATTCTTTACAACAAGCTCATTAACTTAGGCATGACACCTTTACCTTTCAAAGCCCAGTTTCTTCATCTGGTGGTCTCTATAAGAACCTCAATCACCAAATAAAATGACATAATGTTCATCACAAGGTTTTTATTGAGCCAGAAATGTGAAACAATAATATAAAAAAGATGTTCAGCAATGAGAACTAACTTTCTAACTTACTCATTTTTTCCTCCCCATTACAATCCTTCCTCCCCCAAGAATTTGGTTTAGTTCTCGGTTAACAGGAAAATACTATTAATCACGATATATTTTCTGATAGCATTACTTAATTGAGGTTGTATTGAGCTACACCATCACAAAAAGTAACAAATATCAAAGTGCAAGTTCCCTCTCTCTCTTTCTCCCTCCCTCTCTTTCCTTTTTCTCCCTCTCTCTCCCCTTCTGCTCTCTCTCTCCCCTTCCTCCCTCTCTCCCTCCTTCTGTCTTGCTCTCACACTCAGAACTCTATTTAAAAGAAAAGTTGGAGGGAAAAAGTAGGATGGGGGAAATTACTAGCAAAAGATCAGATCCGATCCTTGGTAAATTTTACCTAGCCTATTGTTTTCACCAAGTATAGAAACACAATATTTCATTGTAAATCTACAGTTGTAAAAATACAATATAGTTAAGAATATTTTTGTAACACAGACAATAGTGTGGTGGAGGCCTGGGGTGGAAGGTGGGGGCAGGCTAGAAAGGGTCAATGGGGAAAAATAAAGGGGACATATGTAATACCTTCAACAATAAAGATTTTTCTTTAAAAAGAATATTTTTGTAGCTATCTACAAAAGGATCCCAGTATGTGATTTAGCTTTATACTATTTTTTTTTAAGGTCTAAGCCCACTGGTTGGGCAATTTTGTCTGTCTCAAGCCTCCAGTAAAGTCTTTATTCAATGATAACAATCAAATCACTGAATTAACCTTTAGCTTCAATACTACCAATTGTTTGGTTCTTACTGTTTTCTCTTCCTGGGGTGGCTTACCTCATGGACTCCACCAGATCCACTTCTAGAATATAAAGGCAAATTTAGAATCCACACTTCACAGGCTCCTGTCCCACTTGATCCCTGGGAGATCTCCTCTTGTCTAAAGGCCTGTCCTACTTCTGCTTTTGATCCTGTGCACTGTGTCACTCGGGATGTTTTCTCCAGCAAAATGGTAAGTGTCTAAAGGATAAGGCATGTTTTTTATCATTTATGTTTTTATCACCCAGAACTATGGATCTTTGTAACCTTCTAAGATTTGGCACTCAAATGTTTTTTTTTATTCGCACAAACATTAAGCATTATGGTTCCTAAACATTTTGGGAGAGAAACCTACCACTGCACATTATGTGTGTGTGTGTGTGTGTGTGTGTGTGTGTGTGTGTGTGTAAGTAAAGAATAAAATGCAAGACAAATCAGTAATGTTTGAGTTAACCTCTGTGAAAACCACAAAAGTAAGTTTGCCTTTTTGCTCAACTTCCTATTTCTGATAATGTCCTTTTCTCATTGAGGGTAAGTGTTTAGATGGAGCATAGAAAAAGTTTGTTCAAAACAACCATTTATGGCTCGCTAGTAGCAGAAATAATGTGTGTCCCTGCTTCTCTTTGTAAATAATTGAATTTGCCTCTGAAGTTCAAGGAGTTCAAGATTTCTTTTTGTGTGTGAAACTGACTGCTTCTGTTTCCTCTTTATATGAGCAGAGTATACGCTAAGACAGAAGAAATGCCATGCAATTGGGATTTGGTGAGCAGCGAGGATAATAGAAGAGATTGACATGACTTCTATAGAAGAGTTATTTTTAAGCTTAGAGAATGCCTATCCCCATGATGAAAGGGCCTTTTGAAAATACTATTGGGATTGAAAGACAATGGAAGCAAAATTCCCATATCTGGGAGAGCAGTGCTGGTCTGCAGGGTGTTGCTGCCACCTGCTGCATGAAAACCGCCATAGAGCAGCTGTCACCTGGGTCTCACAGCTGCAGGACACCAGGTGCATTCAATTAAGATTCTGCGAGTATCTGAATTTCTTTTTCCCTCTCTTAGAGTCTGCGTGGGTCCCAAAGGAAAACTAGTAAATCTGATGACCTCCGGCTGCAGAGGTTTCTAGATATAAGAACCATGAACCAGGCCCTGAATAAATACCCAGAGAGGGCTGATTTGCACAGCAGCCACTGACGAGGTGCTTTGAGTAGCCAAACCCAAAGAGAGGTAAGGATTCCATTAAAAGGGAATAGGTAGCTCAGGAAAATATATGACAATTTCCTTTTTTTAAAAAAATTAAGGTGTTTTATTTTATATTTTTAATCTTTTGTGGAGTTGCTTTACTTTAAAGCAATAAGAAATAGGAGACATCTAGCCCTGGCCAGTGTGGCTCACAGTTGGTTAGAGTTGTTCCCTACAACAAAAGGTTCAATTCCCGATCAGGGCACATACCTAGGTTGAGGGTTTGGTTCCAGTTGGGGTATGTACAAAAGGCAATCAATCAATGTTTCTTGTTCACACAGGTGTTTCTCTCTCTCTCTCTCTCTCTCTCTCTCTCTCTCTCTCTGAAATCAGTAAACATTTTTCTCAGACTAGGATTTTTTTTAAGGAGATATCTAAGTACATTGAGTGGGGAGGGGTATTGTTCTTAGAGAATTCAATAAATTTACATGTTTATTGTTTCCACTTAGGTAAATTCCCCTTAATATGAGAAGTGGAGTGAGGTAACTAAATTTCTTCCCCAGGCTTGCAAAGTGTCCAAATTTAATAGGGACACCAACCTATAGATCAGGATCTCCCCGGTATATCTATTGAACTATTTTTACCTCTATAGTCCATCACTGTCATTTACTGGAATTTCTAGGGGAAATGAGGAAGAGATGAAGGCATAAAGTGCCATGATGTCTCCTCCTTTCAATCAAAGACTCTAAACTCCCCAACTCTCTCTCTGAAATATCCTTGTCATCACCACCTAACCCAACACCTCCAGTAATCTGAGACTTAGTGGGGAGGTTAGGGGTAGGGGTGGGGTAAATGCTTGAAGAGGCCTAAATTAGGAAATAGGTAACTCCATCTTCTGGCCTTTGCAGGAAACATCATTAGCTGATTAGTAAAGAGTAAGTATGACAATCATGGCAGGTATGTGTACAGGGTAGCCTGGACATCCAGGAAGACGGTAGCCCTGTTTCACCATCTGCAAATCTCTTCTCCCAGCTAAAATCTAATCCCCTCAATGACAAGGGTGATGCCTTATGTCTTAGCATCATTCATATTCACCCCAAGTCGCTGAATTGGGGAGATCAGTACGCACTTAATGACATGATGTCATGATACATGATGACATGATACAACCTGGTGAAAATTCTCTCTCCCTGGCCTCCCTCAAAAAAAAATTGTCACCTCGCAAATGAAGTTCCACCTTTGCCTTTGTCTTTAGGTTTTCCGGGTGCTGCCAAAAGGTAGTAGTGAGATTGAGGTCACAGAATACGTCACCCATTGTCCATACAGTTGTATGTTGACACATATATTACTCATTTTTATTCTTTGTTTATTACATTTAACACTGCAGTCTTCCAACTAATGCTTGCCTTCTTAATGTTGGAAGGTGAAGATGGTCTATTTTATCCTAAGCTAGAAAACCATGAAGTCATATCTGTCAGGGGACAGTCATCATGTCCGAGGAGTCACTCCCCTGTTGTCCTATCTTGGTCCTCTGTAAATGGAATTGACTGGGCATATGTAACATGCTTGGTGGCTAGCTGAGGTAGGAACTGCTCTGCCTTTGCATTCTGATTGTTTCAGACTTGCTCTCTATCGTTTTGGGCTGAGACACAAGCTTTTATGCCATCAGCAGAAGAGGCCTCCCACCAGCACTGTCTAACTTCCAGTTCTTCCCACACCAGGGGCAGAAAAGGAGCCCTCACTCCCCCACCCCCAGGAAATGTGGGTCCCCTGCAAGAGGGGAGACAATAAAGTTTGGTTTGATAGTTGATGCTCCCCTCAGTTACTTTTCAGATGTGTTAATGTTTTGTTCTTTCACCCTGGAGCAATTCCGGAAAGCAAATACATTTTAAAATTGAACAGAAAAACTATTATAAAAGGCACGAGGCTCACATTTGTTAAATGACTTTGTGCTCCTGAAAGAAGTGCATGAAAAGCACATTATGAACTGCTCTGCGTGATTTCCTTTGGATTTTAGAAGCAGCTCGACTGACACAGAGATCCTGACGGAGAGAATCTGTGTGTACTGAAAAGCCTTTTAACGAAGGTGATACACAAGGTTTCAGAGAACAATTTCAACTTTGTTCTGTTGAAGGTTATATTGAGCTCTGAACCACATTACTTTCCTGTCTACGTTTCATTTCCTGGGGTCTTGCCAAGTGATAAACAGACACGGGCGTGTGGTAGATTTGGGGTTTTTCAGTGCGAATAGGATGGCTCGAGTTTGTTTAGTTAAAGGCATCAGTTGACTTCTGTGATCATGGTGAAAATGCTGCTGTAAGGCCTTCGGGAGACGATGGAGAAAAAATGGACATACCGTGCTGTCTATTCCATCATCCAGATACATTTTGTCAGGGGTAAGGCTTCCAGTTGTACTTTTCTTGTCAAATCAGCCACTTTAGGGGGCGAGGGAGGCCTCTTGCTCATTGAAGATGCCTGTGACTGCTGCTGAAATTGAGTACAAAGGCAGATCGTTGCGAAGGTTTTCAGTTATGTACTTAAGCAGCAGCTATGGGGGAGCTGTTGGAGTCTACAAAGGATTACTAAGGAACAATAAAACCAAGAAGGGGATGGGTGGTTTGTGCCACTGCTCAGAGACATTTTTTACCCATTTCCTTCCTAAGAGAATCTCTGGAGTAATTGGGAGATTTCGCTTCTTAAAAATGAAATGTTCTCCAAATGGTAGTCAGAACAACTCTGGAATACTAAAAAAATAATTCACAAAGCCATCAATGTTCAGAGATCCTTGCTCAACTTTTTTCTCTCTTTCAACTATTCTTTTTTTCTTCTTTTGGATATAATAAGCATTTCTCCTCCAAATACGAATGTCTTTGGCAGTTGAGCATATGTTGCATTTAATGAGGCATGTGCAGGTAACACACCTGGGAGACATAGCAGGGTCCTTATGACAGTGGGAACCAAAGTCTAATGGGCCTATTTAGAAATGGTAGGAAGAAAGATTAGTTCTGTATCCCACAGCATGAGGGTATTATAGCGATCCTGAGTGTCTTAAGAATTAGCTCTGCTTTTCATATAGAGCTACTAAGATTTTTAAGGAGAATTTTTAAATCAAATGAGACTTTGGAATATAATGCAGTAGATAGGATCAGAAGCATATTATCCGGCAAAGGAGAGCTCACAGGGAGATACATTAAACTATACTAACCTCTGCCTACCCATGCTTTTGCATCCATAAAAGTATAATAATTCCTGTTTGTCAAGTACCTTTGAGAGCCTTGTTTCTTCGCAGTTGCTTGTCATCTTTTTATCTTTTTCCTTTGTTAGCTTCTGTGGTACTTGTTACAATCATATATCATTCCTATAAAAGTATTCCATGTTCATTCTAAAATTGAGGCCTACCTTATTGAAGGTATGTCAAAGATGCAATACTTTAAGTGTCCTGTACTATTTGGTCAGAGAACTGATGGGAGAGAATCTTCTTTTATATCTAGTATTTCAAAGCATTGATTATAGATAATGCTAACCAAATGATTTATCTCTAGTGGAAATTTTACTTGAGGTGTTTTCTGCCCTTCTCCTCCTGTAAACTCCAACTACATGGAGATAAAGGCCCTTTTAATCCATATATATTGAATATCAAATATCCTACCCTTCTCAGCCAATCTGGGGGTCATTTTGGAGGTTATGAGGTTATAGAAAGAGCGCAGATTCTAGGCAGCCCAATTCATATTCTTTTACTGAGGTATGACTTTGAACAAAGAACTTAATCTGCCTGTGCCTCAGTTTACTCTTTGAAAAGGAATGTTAATAATATCACTCTAGTATGTGAGAAGGATTAAATATGACAGTATATGTAAACACCTCTTGTACATATATTTTTTAAAAACTGCTATACAGAGTTTATAGTTGTTTTTGTGGTTTTAGAAAATATCACTTGAGTGTTACATGCAGCTGTTGATGCATAACCAAAAAAGCCAATTGTATTAAAAGTAAGAATAGTTGCCATAATAAGTTTGATGGTGAATTTCAACTTTAAAATGGTCTTGATTTTATTCACCGGTAGCTAGAGATCTTGTTGTTTTTTAGGTTAGACCAACCACCAAAAAGTAAACATTCAGAAGTCAGTAAGTTCCTCTCGTATCCTAAAGTTAATGCCTCTTCGCATGTATTGAGATCCATTCTTCTCTATCTGGGTCATGCATGAGCTCTCTCCAATCCCCGAAGTAGCCAGGGGGAACATTTCCGTGGTGCTCACTCACTTCATTAAAGTCATCCAAGTTTATAACTAAGAGTCACTCCATGTGAATCATGTAAACTGATGTCTTGGTTCTTCCTTTTCAGGAATATGGGAAGGAAAATTCAGCGCAGGAGAAGACATTTATGCTTCACCTGGCTCTGATGTCAATCTGACCTGCCAAACACAGAAGAAAGGCATCTTGGTGCAAACGCAATGGTCCAAGGTCACCGAAAAGGGGGACATCATTGCCATTTATCACCCCCAACATGGCTTCCACTGTGCCAATGGGGTTCCCTGTAAGTCACTGGTGACTTTCACAGAAACTCCTGGGAATGTGTCAACGTGGACGCTGCACTTAAGGAACATGTCCTCCTCACTCAGTGGGAAGTATGAGTGCAGCTTTATTTTTTTCCCACTAGGCAGTCAGACTAAAATCTACAACCTTCTCATTCAGGAAAATGGTAAGCACAAATATGTATAATGTGCCAACTATGGGCCAAGCATGGTACTAAGTATGCAAAGTTGAACAGAAAGCAGTATTGCTTGTAAGAGAGATAGAAACTGATCAAATAATTCTACTAATACATGTAAAATTGCAACAGCGATAAACAATAAGAAATGCAATGGTCTTGTGAGGGAGCATATAATAGCTGTCAGGGAAATTGTCTCTGAGAAAGCAAGTCCAAGCCGAGGTCTAAAGAAAGACTAGGCGTTCACACCATTTCAGAGGTGGGCGGTTAGTGAGTGACCCAGAGAGAGGAAACAGCTTGTGTGAAGGGCTTTGCAGTGTCTGAGGAAATGGGAAATATCAGTGGGACTGTGGTGCAGAGATTAGGGGAGGAAGTGTGAGATATGGTAAGGGCCAGATCATGTAAGACATTGTCAGCCATGTTTGAGGTTTTGATTTTTATCATGGGAAGACATTGACGCATTTTTAGCAAATGATGGTATGACATTTATAGCCTAATTAAATTTGTGTTATGAAAAGATCATCCTGACCTTAGTATAAGAATGAAATGAAGGTGGATAAGAAGGAGATGTTGGAGACAAATTTGGAAACAATCTCAGGAGCTCAGCAGAGACATAGTGTTGTTTGGATTGATATAAAAAGAAAAAGATAAAGATAAATTTTATGCACGGGGAAAAAAGAGACATGACTTGGTAATATAAGACAATTTCAGTATGAGCGAAGGAGAGAGAAAAATTGAGGTTGATATCCAGGTGTCTGGCACACACACCTATATGGCAGTGCCATTTGCCAAGATAGGAGGCAAGGAGGATAGAGCAGGTTTGTGGAGGAATTCACAGAAGTGCTCTGGATATATTTAGTACAGGGTAGCTAAGGGTGCCAACAAGGCTGCTGCACATGTAGTTTTCACACAAACATGCTTTGGACACCTGCTCTGCAGGCAGGAGTCCTCGGCTTACGTTCTAGCTCCTTTCTGGCTAGAAATGAATTTCACCTGGGATCTGTCCTGCCAATTCTCTGAGTCCATCTGGAAAATCACCATAATAATTCCCACCCTAAACTACTTGGTCATAAAATAAATTACTTCTATTTCTACTAATAAGCCAACAAATGAAAAATACACTGAAAATGGAATATTTTTAAATCAAGACAAAATGGCCTAGTAATACAAGAAAAAAAACCCTCCTAAAGGCTATGCTAAGGGGGGCATAGAGCTGCCCATAGCAAGTAGGTATGGATTTATTGCCTCCTCTCCATTTATTATCAAGAAACAAGACCATGGGATTGAAATAGACCACCTAAAGACTAGAACCTTTTCCACCACCACCTTACAATGCTCTAGTCCCATTGCTGTTTGTTTTCCAGAAAAAAAAATGCAATTGAGTTCAACTGGGGACAGGGAGGGGTGGGGTTGAGTGAATAGGAATAAGGAGAACATCATTTGTGCATTGGGGTCGGGCAGGGGTCTCAGATTTTAATGTTGACTCTGTCGTTTACTATATACATCATTTTTGCCGAGTTATTTAAAGTCTCTAAGCTTTTGTTTCCTTATACAACAAGCATAATAGGTACAGTGCCTCCTTCATAGATACCATTATTTTGATGATTAAAAGAGATAATCTATGTGAAGCACTTAGCATGGTTCCTAGCGAAGGTTACAAGTGTGGTAAACGGTAGTTTTCATTAAGTATAATATGTACTGAGTAAATTATTTTTCAATTCTTATGAAAAATGAATCCCCCTCCCTCCTTTTATACTTGCCTAATTTGGAACCCAAGGGTACATTTATTATATATGAGCACAAGTACACATTGACCTTGGCTTAGACATAGGTTTTTCACCTCTGCCTAGATCTGGAAACTATACTATTACATATCTGAGGACTTACTGTTTACTCTTCAAGATTGGCAACATAGATTGATATGCCTCTAGGAAATAGGATGCAGATCCTATATGAAATATGATGTCTTCAACATGAAGTCAGAAATGGAGAAGAGGTAGCATGTTCTCTAAAATGAAGAGTGGTATTGCCTTTAAAGAAAGTGTGTTTCTTAAAATAAAGGGTAACCCAAGGGGCCCAGTTGTAGCTACAAAACAAAACTGCACATCAATAGACAGACAGAGCCAGGTCTGCATCCTGTGTGGTTAGAAAATCCCTAGTCTTCTGATTTAGCGTTGCTGCTGGTCAGCTGGATTGGATGAAAAGCAACGGCCTCAGTGTTAGGAAAATGGTTCTAGTGTTGTGTATTTAGGTAGAAAGGGAGGAAAATAGAAAGAAGGGAAAAAATTCCATGGAGAGACTAAAACTATAAGCCTGGCATAGAGCTAAGGGGTAAACACTTCACTCAGAGAAGGCAGTTGCCATTCAAAAGCCCTGTCAGGCCCCCACACAATGATACATCTTTTCCCCCTTTATTCTTTTGATCTTCTCTCACTTCTCATACTCGTGCCATTTCCCTCTTAAATCCCTGAGAGGTCTTTACATTTGCAAGCTAGTTGGGTGGGCAAAGCACACATGAGTTGCAAACATTTATGATGTACATAAATAGATGCAGCGTTGGTGGTATAGTGGTGAGCATAGCTGCCTTCCATAAATAGATGCAAATTGAAGTGACATATAAGAATCTAAATATGAAAATGCTGAGAGACCAGAGGCAGTGGGGACCTCTTCCTGTTTCCTTTCCGTTGTCATATGGGTTATTCTACTCCCTCCTCTGCTCACACAACAGGGCGTGCTAACTCCTATCCCCTGTTCCTTGAGGGCTTAGCTGAGAAGGGATGTTTTTCTCTTTTCACAATATTTTGTTCCTTTGTGCTAGTCAGCGCTCTGAGGCTGTGGATGAGGATAGAAATATATTAAATAGGTGTTTGCTTCTTTTTAAAAAATATATTTGTATTGATTTCAGAGAGGAAGGAAAAAGGAGAGAGATAGAAACATCAATGATGAGAGAGAATCATTGATCAGCTGGTTCCTGCACACCCCCTACCGGGGATCAATCCCACAACTGGAAATCAAACCATCATTTCCTAGTTCATAGGTCGACGCTCAACCACGAGCCATGGCAGCTGGGCTGGTGTTTGCTTCTTACTCATTTTTACTCAACAGGGTTTCCTCTTAGGTTAGGAGCTTTCAACTTATTGATGTTGTAAGACTGTAAGATGTTGATGCATTTTAAAATTTGTAGTTATTAGGATTCATTAAAAGGGTATAATGTGACTTTAATTTCGCAGATTACAACAAAAGCCTTAGAGGACTTGTACCTTTAGTCACCGTGCTGTATATTAGCTCCCTAGAACTTAGTTATCTTATAACTGGAAGTTTGTACTTTTTTATCACCTTTACCCATTTTTCCAATCCTCCACCTCCACCTTTGGCAAGCACTAATCTATTCTCTGTATCTCTGATTTCAGTTTTATTTTTTAGATTCCACATATAGGTAAAATCATGCAGTACTTGCCTTTCTCTGTCTTATTTATTTCACTTAGCATAATGCTGTCAAGGTCCATCCATCCTATCCCAAATAGCAGGATTTCCTTTTCATGGCTGAATAACATTTCATTTCATATTAGAACATTTTCTTTAGCCATTTATCCATTGATGGGCACTTATGTTGTTTCCACATGTTTGGCTATTATAAATAATGCTGCAATTAACATATGAATGCAGATATTTATTGAGACAGTAATTTCATTTCATTTAGGTATATATCCAGAAGTGGGATTGCTGGATCACATGGTAGTTCTATGTTTAATTTTTTGAGGAATTTCCATACAGTTTTCTACAGTGGCTGTACCAGTTTACATTCTCATCAGCAGTGTATAAGGCTTACCTTTTCTCCACATTCTCACCAACACTTGTTATCTCTTGTCTTTTTGATAATAGCCATTCTAACAATTGTGAAGTGACATCTTATTGTGGTTTTGATTTGTGTTTCCCTGATGAATAGCGATGTTGAGCACCTTTTCATGTACCTGTTGGACATGTGTATGTCTTCTTTGGAAAACTGTGAATTCAATTCCTTTGCCCATTTTTAAGTCAGATTGTTTGTTTTTGTTATTGCGTTGTATGAGTTCTTTATAATTTTGGATGGTAACCTTTTATTAGATATACTAGAGGCCTGGTGCATGGAATTCGTTTGCAGAGGGGTATGGGGGGAGGTCCCTCAGCCCAGCCTGCACCCTCTCACAATCTGGGACATCCCTCTTGCAATCCGGGATCGCTGGCTTCTAACCGCTCGCCTGCCTGCCTGCCTGATCACCCCTATCCACTTGCCTGCCTGCCTGATTGCCACTAACCACTCTACCTGCCTGCCTGATTGTCCCTAACTGCCTCTGCCTGCCTGATTGCCCCTAACCACTTCTGTCTACCTGCCTGATCACCCCTAACCACTCCCCCTGCCTGCTTGATCACCTCTAACCACTTTCCTGCCTGCCTGATTGCTGCCAACCACTCTACCTACCTTCCTAATTGTCCCTAACCACCTCTGCCTGCCTGATTGCCCCTAACCACTTCTGCCTATCTGCCTGATTGCCCCTAACCACTTCTGCCTACCTGACTGATCACCCCTAACAACTCCCCCTGCCTGCCTGACCACCTCTAACCACTTGCCTGCCTGCCTGATTGCTGCTAACCACTCCCTATGCCTGCCTTATCTGCCCTAACCACTTGCCTGCCTGCCTGATTGCCCCTAACCACTCACCTGCCTGCCTGATTGCCCCTAACCATCTCTGCCTTGGCCTCTGCCATGGCAGCTTCATCCAGAAGGACATCTGGAATGACGTCCGGAAGGTCGTTTGTCTGTCTGGTCTAATGAGCACAGTGGTCGGCAAACTGCGGCTCAGCAAACCGCAACTCGCGAGCCACATGCGGCTCTTTGGCCCCTTGAGTGTGGCTCTTCCACAAAATACTGGCTCTTCCACAAAATACCGACTTCTGCGCATGGGCCACGAAGTTTCATTCGCACTATACATGCACACCCACACGTGGTATTT